TCTAAAAATATTACCTCTATATATCTTTCAAAGACAATAATAATCAAATCTCGAAAACATAATTATAATTAATAATACGAAATCGGTTTTAGTGTTTAAGCAGATGACACTTGCTATAGCACATGTTAAAAATGCCTGCTATGGCAGGCGGTACCGTAGAAAGGCTATTTGTCAAGGTTAGCTTCCAGAAACCTTATTCAGACAAAATGATTACACCTTTAAAATTTTTGTAAATATGCGGAAAAGCATATAAAGGTATAAATTTTTCTTTTGCCGACATACCTTATGAGGTAGAAAAGAGATGGCTAAGTGAGAGATTTAATAAATCTATCTCAATACCTCGGACAAAAAATTCAAACAACCTCTCCATCGGTTATTAAGCTCAATATTAAAATATATTCTAATTCGCAGACGTTTATTGTGTAGCATATAGTAAATCCATGTGAGGATCTGTTAATCGATAAAATTAAATATGTGATCTGTATGTATGGAAGGAAACGATTGGCGGTTTGGATTTGTGCAAGAATTGGCCATGAATAGAGATGTATTGAAAATAAAAATTTTTTTATCTAAAAGGACCAGCAAGTTCTTTTGTTCATCATGCGACACCAGATCTCCTTTTCATACTAAAAAATAATATTATAACAAAAATTAGCTCATCAATTGTGACTGATAAATGATATTATCAAGGTCTCAAATAAACTTAATTTAATGAAAAGCCGAAAATAAGTAGTATCTTTTCCGAATTTTAATTTTATTTATAAAATTAATAAAATAAATTTTTTTAACAAGAATAAGATGATTATAACCACAGCTAAATAATCTCATTTCATCATATTAATAGTGGAAAATTGTATTTATGTTTAAAAAGGGAAAAACAAAAATGCGTAATTTTATATAATAGTGCCATCTTGAAAAAAATTATTTATTTTTAAAAAAATAAAATCGCAATAACAAAAACCCATGGCTCTCCCAAGTTTAAATTTTTTTATAAATAGATATATTGTAAGTAAAAATGCTTTATTTTATATAGGAATTTTTTTTTCTCTTTAGCTTTCACCTTTTCTGGTGGTAAGCTCCTTCAACATCTCTCTCCACTTTATGTTATTCATACAATCTCTTTTATCTAATTTATACTTCTTTATATTGGCTCTAACTTTATGCCTCCATTGAAGTTTTGGCCTTCATCTTTTACGTTTGCCCATCACTTACAAACTCTCAACCTTATTTCCTATGTAGTTCATAGGCCTTTTCATTGTGTGCCCATACCACCTAAGTCTGTTTACCATTAACTTAGTCTTAATAGGCACTACCTTTAAACTACTTAGTATTCTTGTACACACTTTATCCTTTCTTGTTACCCCAGCAATCATCCTCAGCATTCTCATCTCCATAGTTTGTAGACTTCTCTCATCTGATTCTTTGGTTGGCCATGTTTCGGAACTATATAGAATAGTTGGTTGTACTATGGAACTGTAAATTTTTCCCTTTAATTTGTGTGGGATTCTTTTGTCAGATAGCACTCCATAAAGATCTCCACTTTAACCACCCTTGATTAATTTTACTCTTTATCTCTTTTTCTATTGTGCCGTTTGTTTGTATAGTGGAGCCCAAATATTTGCAGCTTTCAATTGCCGATATCTGCCATTCATTTATATAAATACTCTCTGTTTCATCTCCTCCTATCACCATATACTCCTTCTTTTCTCTATTTACTTTTAGTCCGTGCTTTTCTAGAATATTTATCCAACTCACTAATCTTTCTTTCATTTCATCCTTGGATTCGGCAGGTATCACAATATCATCTGCAAATATCATATTCCACGGGACTGTTTGAGGTATAGACTGTGCTAATACATCTATTACTGTAATGAAGAGAAGTGGGCTGAGAGCCGACCCTTGATAAACTCCTTCGGCTATTGTGAAGCCTGCTGAAGTACCTGTTGTGCTACGGACCATTGTTGTATGGCCAATATACATATCCTGTATTATTCTTATATATTTTTCGGGAACCTTTTTGTGGCGTAGCGGTTTTCTTGGGATTCTATAGAAGGCCTTTTCTAGATCGAGTAAGACCATGTGTATCTTTTTGTTCTTTTCCCTGTATTTTTCACTCATTTGCCTAATTGCGTAAATAGCATCAGTTGTTAATCTTCCAGGCATAAAGCCAAACTGAGTCTCTCCTGATTCGATTATGTCTCTTAATCTTTTTTCTATAATTTTTTCGTATAGTTTTAGACAGTATGACATTAGTTTTATGCCCCTGTAATTTTGACAATTGTGTGGATCCCCTTTATTTTTGAAGATAGGAACTAGATAGCTCTGCCTCCATTTTTGGGGAACTTCTTCATTTCCAAGTATTTTATTGTACAGATTTATGAGGAGATGTATTCCATCATCTCCTAGTGCATTAAGGCTTTCTATTGGAATATCATCTGGACCCCTAGATTTGTTGTTTTTCATATGCTTGAGGCATGTGATTATTTCTTGTTCTGTTATAGGTTGTACAAGGTTTTGACAAGAGGAGTGTTCATATAGATGTAGTATGTTGAGATTAAAGTTGAGAAGCTTCTGAAAATATTCTTTCCATCTGTTCATTATTTCTTTTTCCTTTATTATCAATTTCCCATCTTTATTTTTGATTACTTTCCGAGCTCCTTTTATATCCCTAGATTTCTTTTCTCGCTGTTTGGCTAATCTGTATATTTTATTTTGCCCTTCTTTGGTAAGTTCTTCATACATGTCATTGTTTGGACCTAGCCACCGCCTTTGTAACTAATCTCTTGATTTTTTGTATCTTGTCTTGTCATCTGAGTTTTTGGATTTGTACCATATTTTATAAAGGGCTTTTTTCTCCTGTATAGTGGTTTGTACCTCTTCATTCCACCACCATAGTTCTTGTATGATTTGTTACCTCCCCCTGTCAAGCCTAGTGTCGATTTGGCAGTGTATTAATCTGTATGAAAGGTTTGTTCACATTTTTTCACTGACTTATAAGGAATCTATTTTTTCAATGCTGTCATTGTTTTCAATTTACCCCATTTGATGCATGGTTCCAGTTTTATCTTATTTTGAGTGGATTTATTTGAGATGTGTAAATCCATGACTAGTAGCTTGTGTTGCGCGGCGATATCTTCTCCTGGGATTACTTTGCATTACATCTTTTAATCTTCTGCGAGAGATTAGCATGTAATCTATCTGTGTTTTCCTTGTACCACTTTGATATGTTATTAAATGACTGTCCTTTTTCCTATAGTAGGTGTTGGTTAAGGCAAGGTCGAAGGCTTGCACAAATTTCAGTACATGCTCTCCTTCATCATTTCTTTCTCCATATCCAAAACCACCGTGATGCCTTTTGTAGCTATCTCTTGCTTTCCCCACATGCGCATTTAAGTCACCACCAATTATGACTAGGTCATCCTTAGGGATTTCTATTACAGCTTCATCAAGGATAGCTCTAAAGTCATCTTTCTCTTCTTCCTTGCAACCCGTTTGAGGACCAACTGAAAGGATGTGTAGTATTGATTGACCAATGCAGAGTTTTATTTTCATTAGTTTATCAGAGATCCTGTTGATTTCTACTACTGGGGAGGTTGATCCTGTTGACTTCTACTAGTGAGGAGGTTAGATCATGACTGAGGATGATGCCGACACCGTTCCTATTGCTAACAATTCCATTATAGTACAATTTATACCCATCTCCAATCATCAAAGTCTTCTGTCCCTTCCATTTCGTCTCTTGTATGCACGCTATATCAACTTTTCTCTTGTTCAACATTGATGCCAATTATCTCGTCTTACCTTTAAGCGTCCCAATATTCAAACTTGTTAATCTTGTCTTCTTTGTTTTGACCTTTACTTTACTTTTCACAGGATGGAGGTCTACACTCTGCGCGTCGCTTGGAGGGAACGCCCTAGCTTTCATATTCATATTTCCATTTGTTTCCTTTTATTTATTGGACAGGTATCCTTAGTACCCGGCTGTCCAGGCCTGTCGGTGACCGGTATGTCATCTCTAAGCTCCGAAATTCTATTACCATATGTCTTTACACATCAGTCATCGAAGAAAAACTTGAAAGTTTTTATACTCCTTACCAGGATTGAACCTGCGTCCTTCTTCGTCCTTCTGTTTCTAAGCACACATCTAACCCATTAGACCACCCCGGCGATTTTATATAGGAATGTCATCTATTAAAATAAAAAGGATGAGCCAAAAAGTTATCTATTAGGTATGGAATTACTCTGATCCTTTTTTCTAAATCTTTTACTTTTTTTGAATGGTAAATCCTGTAAAATATCATTAAATAAGATTAATAATATAACAAATCACAAAAATGATGGGCTAGATTTTTTAAAGCACTCGATAATTATAAAATTTGGGTATCGATGTTATCGAGCCGGTACTTCATTTCGATTTCGGCCAAAATATAGTATCTATTGTGCTGTGTTTTCTTGATTTTTATCTACCAGTTCCAAATATCGTGCATACCTTTTTATATAAAAAACAAAAATACTAAAAAAAATAGTGACCTAGAATTCTAAGTGTTCAAAAAACGTTGGGCTTTTTTGATTCCCACCATTCTCAAAGGTTAATAAATTGATTTTTTATAAAAGATAACATAAAATGAATGTGCAATTTTCAACTCAAAATATTCATTTATATTGAAATCAGATCATTTGCAAATACCTGGGGATTCACCAAAAATTATCTAAAATAAACTCTATATTAAAAAGTATTGATCAAAAATAAACCAAAACTTAAAACCAATTTCAATTTTTTACTGGGGTCAAATTTTAAAAAATATGTTTATAATTTCTATTCTACCTCCCTCTCCCAAATTGCTTTGAATTTTTTAAAAAAATCAATACTATCTGTTTAGTTTATCGAAATCACATCCCACCCAATATTCTATATTGATTATATATTTCGTATTACCAAGATTTCAAAATGACATTTGTATCAATAGGAATATTATATATCTGATATTATAAAATAATAGATTCACCTATGGTAATCGCCGATTCTGAAATTTTACCATTATCAAATGACATATACAATATTCCTGAATATGCTCAAGATATACTTTTATACCTCAAAGAATTGGAGGTATAATAATAGAATTCATTATTTTAACATTCTTATCTTATACAAATTAAAACAACTACTAGCTTAATCTCTTTCTATCAATTTATAGATATTTCTATTTAATAAGCTAAGCTATGTTATTTTGATTTTTAGTTTTGCATATATCTATATTATTATTACATCCTATGACCCTTAGAGTTTGCACAAACCGCGACCTACTTACATGACCAAACAACCCGACATAACATATATGATGAGGGCTACAGTGGTCGATTGGCTCGTAGAGGTGTCCGTTGAGTACAAATTGCTGGATAAGACACTCTTCTTGGCTTGTTCCTACATCGACCGTTTCTTATCCATCATGGCCATCTCGCGCAACAAACTCCAGCTGTTGGGCACAACCTCGATGTTTATCGCAGCCAAATTCGAGGAAATTTACCCTCCCGACATTAACGAGTTTGTTTACATAACTGACGGCACTTATAGTAAAGAACAGGTAGTCAGGATGGAGCAATTGATCCTCAAAATCCTTTCCTTCCGTGTTGGTCCTCCTACAGTCATCTGCTTTCTCGAAAAATTCTGCAAGCTAGCTGGCCTGCCTAAAACGGTTCAAAATCTGGCCAAAGTAAATTTCATTTTCTTGCAATATGCTGATAGAATATATGTATTAGAGATTTGCTTGGCCCATTAGGATTTTTATACGGATTTCATCTATTAAAACTTTTTGCTCTGCCCGTTAAAATTTTCTGTAAATGTTGCTCAAATTCTTCTAAGTTTGAATTTTTTTTACAAAATTTAAATATTTTTCTCTGCCCGTTAATCTTGTTTAGGTTCCGGACAGTGCAGATTAGAGATCTGCATTGGGTGGGGTTTCCGCCCGGCCATCTAAGTGGGCGGGCGGATGGGCGGGTAAAAATTTTTTAGAAAATGGGCGGGCGGGTTAAAAAAATTTGAAACTATGGGCGGGCAGGTTAAGAAATTTAAACATTGGGCGGGCGGGTTAAGGAAATTAAAAAATTTTGTTCAAAAACAAACTAAAAAAAATAATTATTTAAATGATATATTATAACAATATATCTTTTTTTATTGTACCAATCGTTTTTTTTAAGTGAAGAACATTTACCTAACTATATAATGTATAAACACAACAATAAAACTTTTTTCTTAGAATAAATAAACATTTTTGTCTATTAAAAATTTCTTTTTATGGGAATGTAATAAAACTTTTCTAGTGCTTCTTCCGAACGCGGATTTAGCATTGCTGGAAGATTTTTAGAACAAAGAAGAACATGTTTGAATCCAGAAAATGTCGATTATTATTTTTGCATTATAATTACATATAATATTAATTTTACATTTATATTTTTTTCATAAATATTCAATTTGATCAAATAAATTGTCCATAATTTACATTGATTATTTTTATACTTATATTAATTTCCTAAATTATAAACTTTTTGTAGAGGTGTAATGCTGTAATATTTTTATTAGATGCTTAAAAAAATGAAAGAATGACCATATTTAAATTTTATAAGCAGGCTTGGGTTAAAAATTTTTTATAAATAATGGGCGGGCGGGTAAGGAATTTTAGACAAATGGGCGGGGCGGGCGGGTATATATTTTTTTGAAAACTAAGGGGGGGCTTTTGGTCCAAAAACCCGCCCAATGCAGACCTCTAGTGCAGATGTCTATTAGGCATGTCTTTTATTTACAGATTAAATATTTAACTTTCTTTCATTTTAATTTTATATAAGTATTTATCAGAGCTCACGCTTTTGGATGGGGAAGTCTATCTCAAATACGAGCCTAGTATTATTGCATCATCCGCTATTTGTTTAAGTAACATGACTTTTCAAAGAGAACCATGGGTATTTATATATTATGATTTAAAATAATTATAGTCCTTTGCTATAACCAGTTATTGACTATAAATATTGCTAATTTTTTTCTGCCTAGCTTTATAGTTTAGCTTAATTACATCTTTCTAAAAGTAAATCTGGCTTCAGACAACTAACTATTTAATACAATCAATTTTATTTTAAAAAAATAGATAATTACTTTCTCTTTACATTGAAAATTTTCCTTATTTTAATATTTTAAAATTTATTAAAAACATAAATGTGAATATCCTATAGTATTTGATTGAGACTAAATAATTTAATCTATAATAAATTAATCTATAATAAATTAAAATAATTAAGCTAATATGTATTGGAAAAAAATATGGGGGAATAAAAATAATTGGATATATTTAGAAAATTTTATAATATTTTTTTTTTATTCTATATATATGTCGTGATTTTTAAAGGGATCAGAACTTTCCGGGATCATCACGGGTTTTAAAGGGATATCTAAAAAATTAGGGTTTTAAGTTAAGTAATGATAATACGGTATTATCACGTTTTAATCGTGATAAAGAGGAATCTTATTTTATTACGCGCGTTTCTTTTTAATTTAATTTTTATTTATTAATTTTCAATGTTGTTTTTTTTGGCCTTATGAAATAGATGTCTAATATAGGGTATCAATCGATAGCTAATCAAAAGATCTATTCAACGGGAGGTCAATCTCTCCCACTTAATAGGCGAGTCTAGGTCGGGGGGTGGGTTAGGAATATTTTTATCAAAATAAAATATCGATATGGGTATCAAATAATAGCTAATTTTAATATCTTTTGACGGAAAGTCTTCATTCTTGGTCTTGATGGGCATGACTTGGTCGGGGGGGGGGTGGATTGAAGGGCGGCGGGGTAAAAAATGATTTTTTTTGACATGGGTATCAAATAAAAGGTAATTAAAATATTTTTTTATTGTAATAATAATAATCACTCAGAGGGCGGGTCTAGGTCTTGGGGGGTCAGGAATATTTTTACACAAAATATCGATATGGGTATCAAATAAAAGCTAATTTAAATATCTTTTGATTGAAAGTATTCATTTTCTGTCTTGATGGGTATGACCTGGTCTAGAGGGTGAATGGAGGGAGGGGGCAAAAAAATAATTTTATTTGATATGGATATCAAATAAAAGGTAATTTAAATATTTTTTTATTGTAATAATCCCTAATACATTGAAGGTTTAGGTATTGGGAGGTCAGGAATATTTTTATCAACACTAAATATCGATGTTGATATCAAATTAAAGGTAGTTTAAATATCTCTTGATTGTAATAATTATACTCTAAGTGGGCGTGAGATCTTAGAGAGATAATCTGCTTATAAAGAAGTGTAATAATTTATAACTGCAATAAGAAAAATTTATAATATCATTTTAAAATTTGTGAATCGATGGTTTCAAATAAGCCGAAATTTTGAGATTTAAAAATATTACAACTTAGATTAAGTTTCTAGCAAATAATTTTATCATAACTCTTGTTTATAATGATATTTAATATTGAAGTCTATTTGATTCCTGTATCAATATTTTGTGTTTATATAAATATTCCTGAACACCTAAGATCTCCCGCCTACATAGAGTATTATTATTACAATCAAGAGATATTTAAACTAGCTTTTATTTGATACCCTTATCGATATTTTGTTTTGATAAAAATATTCCTGACTTCCCCCCCCCCCCCCCACAGACCTAAACCCGTCCGGTATGAGGGATTATTATTATTACAATAAAAAAATATTTTAATTACCTTTTTAAAATTAGCTATTATTTGTCACCTATATTGATATTTTAATTTGATAAAAATATTTCTGACCCCCCCCCCCCCCCCCCGACTTAGACTCATAAAGGCGGAGAGATTGACCTTTGGTTGAATAGATCTTTTGATTAGCTATCGATTGATACCCTATATTAGACATATCTTATTTCATAAGGCCATAAAAACAACATTGAAAATAAATAAATAAAAAATTTAAAAAAAATATAGCAAAACGCGCGTAAAACGCCTTTTAAATTAAGATTTTTCTATATCATGGTTTAAACTTAATAATACCGTATAGTTCTTTAACCTTGAAAAAATTGAATTCTTAAAGGGATCCCTTTAAAACCCGTGATGATCCCGAATAGTTCTGATCCCTTTAAAAATTACGATATGGTAACCTTTTTCCCCGAATTTTTTGAATATTTTTAATTTTTTAGGAGTATGTTAACTAGAATACATAACGCACATATAAAGATAAAATATATTCATTTATAATTCTCCTAAAATATAAATTGTGTAAAAAATACACATACAAATGCAATAAGTTTCTAATGAATAATAAGCATCATATCAAAAATATGAAATGCTACTCAATAATACCATTTCGGGACTGATATAAATTCTATATAATGCTAGTAGGGAATCTATAAAATCCACTCAACCCAGGTTTTTATTGTAATTTTTAACAATGGTGGGACATTTCACGTTAATTCTTTCCTTTTTTTCGATTGAATCATTTTACGTCAGATAATGGGTGGGCCCCCTATAAAACTGCTCATTAGATAAACGGAACTACGACAATGCTGCTTCGGACTGGTCAGGTCTAAACCCAAAGGGTGTGAATTTTTTTTCCCTCTTGAGCGGGCGGGTCATGAAAAAATTAGGCCCGAGCCCACCTCCAGTGTGAATATACACGTTAGTCTTTTTTATTTTTAATATGCTTTTTAATAATTATAAGCTTCTTTAATTGAATAACTATTTTTCTTATTTTTTTTTACAATTTTAAACCTTTTAATTTAATAACCATTTTACATATATTTTGTTTTATAAAACATAATATTACAATAAACATTTTCTTTATATGCATAAGCAAATTTAGAGTATTATAGTATATTGACTTTTTTGCAGTTTTAAATGCTATATATTATCATTTATAAATAGTTTTAATTTTAGCAACTTATGTTTAAAAAGTTTTTATATAAAAAATTGTTGATGATTTATGTTTTAATTTTTTTTTCAGGTGTTAAAGAAACCTATTATATTGATAAAAGAAGATATTGTTCTATTTTCATTTTATAATATTTTTTAATAATTCAAGCACTCTTTTACTCTCTGTACTGTATTCACATTGGTCCAAAAGGTTTTTTTTGGATATTTTTTCAGCCATTATATTGTCCAATAACAATGATAGATTTTGATATAATAATCTTTTAGAAATAATGTAATCATTGAAATATTGATTTTATAAAAATTTACAAAGCCTTAAAATTCTGAAATTTGGACCCTGGTTCGGGGAAAAATGGGGTCAGGGTTCATAAATCTAAATATTTTCGATTCGGGTAAAAGAGTCCTATCCCAACGGTCCAGAACAATGTAAAAAGGTTATTTTTGACAAGTATGGGTAATTCCATACCAAATCGAATATTTTCGGTCCGACCTTTTTAATTTCGATAAAATTTTGCATGCTGATAGAATATCATTAGAAACCATCGAATCCAAAATTTTAGCCTCCTAGTACTCATAGTTCCTGAGATATCAATGGTCAAAATTGCCAGAAAATACGATTTTTTAAAATGGAGATAAGTTAAAAAATAATGTTTTTAAAAATATAAGTTATATGTCATTTTGTAACTCTATTAAAGGCCTTTTATTAAATATTAAGGATTTTTTTGAAATAATATTGTTGCGGTTTTTATTTACATTATAAATTTTAAACATGAAAACTCCAGGTGTTTCGCTTTCCAAATTTTTTTGAATTTAATATTTTTTTATTCTCTAACTATATCTATTCATAAAAAAAATTTAAACTTTAGACAGCTATGGTTTTTTTAGTTATTACGATTTAAAAAATCAAAAAATAAATATTTTTTTCAAAAATAGATAGATAAAATAACGTGTTTTGTTAAGATTATTATTTTCTTAAAACTTTTTTTCATTTTTAAACATAAATAATAAGATTTTCCAGCATTACTATCATGAAAAAATATTATATATATATATATAGTTTGATAGGCTTACTTATTATTATTATATTGATAACTTGTAAAAATTGGTTTTTTTATAATAAATGATTAAATTTACTAAAAAGATAGTTAAGATTCCATATCTCCTACAAATATAATAATTAATTGTTGAAAGTTAAAAGCAAGTTCTCATGCACCCGCCCTAATATTAATTAATTTTTATTTTATAAATATTTTGGTATTAATTATTTTTATTTTTAAAATTATTTATAATGTATAAATATAAATGCGTTAAATCCTTTTAAAGAATCTAAACACTTTAATTACGTGGGTGACACAATATCCAAACATTGAGGCGGAACACTATATTTGTGATAAATGTCGTAAACGGTTATCACAAAAAAATATTGAAAATATAATTATTCTGATAGCTAATATGTAAATAATGTCAACACAGCATCAACATCAATAGATACAATTAGTGATGTTAAACGGCTCATTTTGAGCCGATTTTTTAAAACGGCTAACTCAATATTTTAGCCAGAAAAATATTGCCTAAGCCTCGAGATTTTGATAATATATACCTAGACTAAAGTATTGCCTAAGCCTCGAGATTTCGATAATATATGCCTAGACCTTTGCTCCTTCTATGAGCAAAATCTTGAGGCTTGCGTAATATTTTTCTGGACGAAATATTGAGTTAGCCGTTTTTAAAAATCGACTCAAAACGAGCCATTTAACAACACTAGATACAATCATTATAACTTTAAACGAAATTGAAATATCTCCTATCAAGAAAAAAAAAATTATCTATAAAAAAGGATAGCGAAAATATAAAAAGTTTATTTCAGATATAATAATTAACAATCCAGAATCGGGTACAAAAGATAATAATGATATTACTCAATAATATGAAATCACAATATCCTAATTTATCTAAAAATAAAAAAAAATACCAATTGCTGACCATTCTGCCTCCTAATTGGAGCGCAAATAAAATAAAAACGACATTCAACGCTACATAATCATATGGCATATAATTCCAAAATCGTTTTAGAAGAAAAGGGGATTCTTTCAACTCCAAATCGAAAGCCTATATCTCAATCAAAAAACAGTTGATATTGTTAAAAAAAAATTTGCAGTGATTAAGTTAGTATGGTATTACCAGGAAAAAAAGATTGCATAATCTAGTATTGAAGAGGGGGAACGAGTGAACGCTCAAAAAAGGTTAGTTCTTAATAATTTGAAGGAATTATATAATCATTTTAAGGGAGTAATTGTTTAAATAAACTCAACACTAAACTATATTTTAATTCGCAGACATTTATTGTGGAGAATATAGTATATCCACATGAGGATCCTTTGATTGAGGATCAATTAATCGATGAGATTAGAGGATACGAAACATGTGCATATGAAAACGATTGGTGGTTAGGATTTGTACAAGAAGTGAATGTAATTAGAGTTGAAGTAAAAAATTTTCTTCACCCTAAAGGACCAGCAAATTCTTTTGTATATCTAGCTGCACAAAATATCCTTTTCATACCAAAAAATGATATTTTAACAATAGTTAGCCTATCAACGGCTACTTGGCATACATATAATAAGAAAAAAATGATTATAACCGCAGCTAAATAATCTCATTTCATGATATTAATGATAGAAAATCTTGCTATTTATGTTTAAAAATAGAAAAAAGTCTAAAAAAATAATAATCTTAACAAAACGCGTTATTTTATAAAGGAGCGCCATCTATTTTTGAAAAAAATATTTATTTTTTAATTTTTTCTAAAAAACTCATGGCTGTTCCAAGTTTAAATTTTTTTTTATGAATAGATATAAGGTTAGAGAATAAAAAAATATTAAATTCAAAAAAATTTGGAAAGCGAAACACCTGGAGTTTTCATGTTTAAAATTTATACGTAAATAAAAACCGCAACAATATTATTTCAAAAAAATCCTTAATATTTAATAAAAGGCCTTTAATAGAGTTACAAAATGACATATAACTTATATTTTTAAAATCATTATTTTTTAAATTATCTCCATTTTAAAAAATCACATTTTTCGAAAAAAGATCATTTTTGGCACTTTTGACCATTGATATCTCAAGAACTATGAGTACTATGAGGTTTTTGGATTCTATGCTTTAATGATATTCCCTCAGTATACAAAATTTTATCGAAATTAAAAAGGTCGAGCTGAAATTACCCATATCTTAGTCCGGTGCAGTTGGGTAATTGCTAATTCAGCTCAATCCACAGGCGCGTGCTGGATAAAATACGTTAACATAAACTTTTTAATATATATTTGTTTCTTTCAAATTTGAGCATCTGTATTTATAAGAAAAACCCAAAGGAGCAGATTTTTTATCTGGCTAAAAATTGGCTTAAACGGCTAAAAATAACAATTACCCAACTATAGTCGGGGAATCATATTTACGATGGCCATACTTATCCATAGTCCCCTCTAATTTCTTGTGAATGAAATTATTCTAATTATCCAGGGAATGTCGTTACAAAAATACTCAGGATACGCGTATACTCATTTTTTATCGTGCCTCAAAGATATATATCACACAATGTGTGCCGCTCAACAAAATCAGCAACACAAAGCCATATGCCAAAAATTCATGTCTAATAAGTAATTACCTTATAATATTATATCAAATTTTAGTTTTTTGACTGTTCATTTGTTTCTTTATTTTAGTAAATATAGCTAATATATTATTTTCATTTCTTTACAAATTTAAAAAGGTACGAGGAAGTGTCCAAAATTCTCCCTCCTCCCCCTTACAATTTACTCGTTAAAGATTAATTCGATCTCTTCAACTCACTCATCAATCCATTTTATTTCAAGTCGATGAAAGTTTTTGTTATCATTGTTGTTTAATTATAAACTTATTTCCTATTTAAGAATCCAATTTAAAATATATTAATCATGAAAATCCTTATTTTTTTTTAATGGATAGGTCATTAGCGCAATTTTTTTTTAAGTGTAAATCTTCAATTTATTAATAAATACAATTGTAAAATTCATATTATGTATATAGGCAATTAGGATAACGTGACAATCTTAATCTGAGCTCTAATTTCTTATCTTTGAAAATAAGTGTTCATTTTTAATTTAAGTATATTTTATAACCTTATAATAATTTATGTAATAAACAAAAAAGTTAAAATAATGTTTATATTTTATGTTTTATTCATATAAGAAAATATTCTACATCATCAACATTTAAATAATTATTTTATTTTTTTTCATTCTATTCTCCCTTGTCTCGAAAAAATTATACATTGTTTTTCATTTATTTACCACTTTCTTTCATAATATATTGTTAAACCTTGTATATATTTGATAAATATTATTAAGTATTTGTTGGCTTTTTACTCTTATTATTTTGTATATTATTTTTAATTAAATTTTTTACATTTTTCCCCCCTGATTGTTTAGTGGTATTATAAATTTATAGAATACATCTATTATATTTATGTATTGATATATGATGCAACCAAAAAATATGTGAAAAAAATGAATTATAAATATGTGTAATCTAGTAATTTTATTTTTAGTCAGATCTTTGAGATTCGTTTTAATGATGATGATAAAGGCGATGAAAAAAAAATAATATTAGAACACTCCCTATTTCAAATATGAAAATGGGTTCAAATTAATTTAACCCATTTCTTGAATAAAATTTTTAATAATTAATTTAATTTTAATTATTATATTTATATTTTTAATTTACTTTTTAAAATTTATTTTTGAAAAAATATTTGACAGAGAAAAAAAGAAGAAATATATGGACATATGCAGCGCCCATAAGTGGAGGCTCTCAAAATTTGAAGGAGGGTTAGGATAAATTTATAAGGGTTAGTACAATGATGTTACTAAAAATCGATCAAATCTATATTGCATACAATCATGGTCCTTATTTTTCAAATAATACTTATTTCTTGATAATTTCTACAAAAAAGAAGGGTCCGGGTCTGGTAATAAATTTAAAAAGGACCCGGGTCCGGGTTCAGAGGGAACATAAAAATAATGACTCAAAATAAAACTTTTTTTCATTCATTTTTTATTATACTTCAATATAATAATTCGAAATGAGATAATTTATATTTTAAATATTTTATTCAATCGCACAATCATGATATCTTCTAAAATATCATCCTTCAGATTTCTACATAAATTAGACAAAATATATTTCAACAATGAAAATCCACGTTCTACGCTTACCTAAAATAGATAGTCATTTTTATAATACATAAATTATTCTAACCGGTACAGCCATGACGATTCTAGACAAGGTATATAATTCTGGATATATTGAAGAATTTTCCTCCCAAAATTTTAAAATGTTTGCATCTCTATTTATTCTCTTAACTTTCGAGAACTTTTCTATTAAAGATACAATAGATATTTTTTGCTCCTTTCTATCAGATGATAATTTAATTTTTTTTTCTCTATCTAATAGTAAAATTTCCAGATCATTGTTATCCAACCAGTAGATATTTTGTAGCCTCCAATATATTGTAAATAATAGAGTTTTGGGTATGCCATATTTTGCTCACTACTTAATAAAACCTGATACCGCGGATCTAAATATATCGAAGCATATACAACACTATTTTGTAAATATTATTGCTCTCTTATTTCCATATTTTCTAATACTTCATTTGAAAAAGAACTTGTCTTAACCATATACCATAAAAATCCGATAAACATAATTGTTCTGCTTGCAATCTTAATGTTGTTATTTTTAAAGGAACCATCACACTAGTAAGCTCTATTACTTGATTCCAATCATCTTCTGACAAAATGATTTCACATGATGATAAAATTATTACAGAAATCTTTCAAACTTAATAATCGCTCTAGCATCATACATATAGAGGACCAACGTGTTGTGCAATCTAAAATGTCATTTGCCTTTTCATGGATTTTAATATTCTAACAATTGTGGGAGTTCTTAAATATTTTACAACATCCCTTGCTTTATCAAAAATAGTTTTAAAGTGACTATTTTTTAGGGAATCATTAATAGCCAATTGTAGCGTATGGGCTGCACATCTGATACAGTATATTTTTGTGGAGAAATCTTTTGTTATTTCCTGCAAATCAATTTCACTTATTTCCTCATAATTATCATCATCATCTATATCATCAATTTCTTCCAGTGAACATTCATTTAATAATTTGATTGATTTTACTAGATTGGCACCATTATCCGTAGTAATTGAATAAACGTTTCTTAGGAATATGAAATTTATTTAATGTTTATAATATCATTCTTTTTATATTTTCAGAAGTTGAACTCTCTTTAATCTTTCATAGCTAAATTTCTTAATATTATATTATTTCCTTTTATATACTGTATATTTATTTCTAGAATATTTCTCCCTAATCTTTGGGCGGAATCAATTTTTAATGAAATTAATTTGTTTTTTGTTTCTTTTATTATTTTTGCTTGTATTTTTTCTATTCATTAACCACTAAGTCCTTAATTTTAAAACGGTTAATTGATGTTCCAATTGCCTTACTAATAGGATCAGTAATTTTTTTTTTAAACCAGAATCCTCAATAATATTGAAAGGCCTTCCATTTATTGTAACAAAAACTAAAGCATTCATCAAATTCTCCTCAGACATTTGAATATGAATGCTTTTTTTAAAGCAAAATTTTTCAATATTATTTTCATCCTTCTTTACATTACTGACAGTAGACTTTGTAACAATGTCTTCTTCCAAAAATTTGGTTTTCTATTTAAATATTTCTCAAAGATTATAGAATGATGTCTTTTTAAATATCTTTTCAGGTTGGTATTGTGTATCATTAGGTGGCAGGTTTTGCACTCAGAATCCCCTTTAGTTGCATTATAGTACTCTAACAAAATATCTTTTAGTTTCATACTAAAAAAACAAAATTTAATTTGTTTAAAACTTAAAAGTATAGACACATAGAATGTATATATTTTTTAATCAGGCTGCATCCAAAATCTAAAAAATATAAATAAATAAATTTTGAAGAAAAAAATTACATAATCTATTTTTTAATGTAAAAATAAAATAGTGTCAAATTTCATGAAATTTTTATAAAAAATTAGTAAGTACCAGCGTCTACATGAGCGGGAGGGGTAGGAACAGTTCGCATCCTATTTTTTTGAGGGGGGTAGGATAAAAAAAAATTTTTTTTTGGGGGGGGGGGGGGTTATCTATTAAATTTTGAGATGAAATAGGACAAAATATATTGCTGTAAAAATTAATACTTTAATTATAGAATTATAATACAATTCATCGACCAAATATATATATTGCAAACAATCATACACATTGTTTTCCAAATAAATCTTCATTTAAAAGGTTTAGATATTTCAGCAAGCTCATAATGCCATAATAATAAATTCATTGTAAATAATGGAGGTTTTAATTGAATTTATTATCTAAAAAATAAATTCTTTATATCAAAATATCGATAGTTGGTACTAGTGTTGTTAAATGGCTCGTTTTGAGCCGATTTTTTAAAACGGCTAACTCAATATTTTAGCCAGATAAATATTGCCTAAGTCTTGAGATTTCAATAATGTATGCCTAGACCTTTGTTCCTTCTATGAGCAAAATCTTGAGGCTTGCCTAATATTTTTCTGGACGAAATATTCAGTTAGCCGTTTTTAAAAATCGGCTCAAAAGGAGCCATTTAACAACACTAGTTGGTAGTAGAGATAAATTAATTTAAGTTATCCTAGATAAATTCTCTGAAAAGAGTATCAATAAATTAAAAAGGTGAAAATAATAATAGACAGACACCGCCGCCGAAGGCGGCGAAATTTTTTAGGGGTTTAGGCAAAGGTTTTTGAAGGGGGTTTGCATCCAGTGAAAATCCTGTCATGTAGACGCTGGTAAGTACAATTCTTCTTAATGCTGATAATTTTATAAATTTACTACCCAAACGATTATAGCCTTTTATATTAATATATATTAGTGTCAGAATATAATTTTATGGAAATTTAAGAATGCACAGGAACCTCTGGTGCAAAAATGACTTAAAAATTGGATATTCTGTAGAAAATAGGAAAATTTAGGATGAAATAGGAAAAATAAAACTTGAATTATGATCTTGTGATAAAGATAATTTTAGCTATAAAGGCTAAATTTATTAAATTATAATTTGGTAAATATAAAAAATTATAATTTAATTTAAAAGGTGCTGGAAAATTATATAATTTCTATCACAATTTTATTTAAATAATAATTTTTTATATATATTTTATGGAAAAATTATCTTTCAAAATAGATTATATTATTGGTTTTCCAACTATTTATTAAATATTGATATAATTATTTATAACATAGTATTTATTAAATATATAAATAAAATTTAAACATAACTATTATCAATTATCAAATAGGTTCATACAAAGTTAAATAATTGAAAGGTAACATAAAATAATAAATACAATTAAATATTTACATATCTTTATCAGGCGTTTTGAATATTTTAATTTTAAAACTTAAATGTGTCCTAAGTGTTTTGTTATTAATTTGTGAAAATTTTAAGGATTTTTTCAAAACTTGGATGCAGCCTAAATAAAATAACTAATTTTTTTGATATGATGATTTGAACATATTTGATAACTTAAAATCTAAAAAAATCCCATAATCAATAATAATAATATTTCAGGAATTATTATATTCGAACTATTTTACTCAAACTTTTATTTTCTTTAATACTAATAAAAATTGATTTCCAATAATAATAATATTTCAATACATAAAAAAAATCAATAATATTTTAATAATAATAAATAAACAAACATATGCCTAGAACACCTCCCTTATTTTTAAGAGGCATTCTCAGGACACTAATTCAAAATCTTTAAAA